AATTAATGAATTTGTCTGTAATTAAAAAAAAATAACCTGGTGCATGTGTTTGTGGCAATCTGTGAGACGAATACTTATTTCCAACAGTTTGTCAAGAATTAATCCAGTGTCTATGCTATATGCAGCTACTAAAAAGAAATTGGGTAGTTTTATCCATTTGGTTTGCATACCAAATCTCGGAGGCAAGCCTTCTAACACATTACCCAAACAGCCCTTGTCTTCTGGGGCACAATTGCGTATGGCCCAGGGAGTCTCTCTTTGCATTTATGCTGGCTGACCTTCATGTCTGTATAAAGAACCTCAGTTAAAATCTCCCCGAGTGCATTCAGATATCCTCCTCACCTGTCAACACTCTTGCTGATAGCTCTTCAGGCAACTACTTTGTTGGATGCTTAAAAAAACCATAAGGGATAGGAGGTAAGAGAGGATTTTTCTGAGGATAGACAAAGAAATTTGAAATCCTAGAAACCTTGTTGCCAGGGGCAAAATTAGTAAAGAAAGCCTCATCTATCTGGGTACAATTACTCTGTCCTGTGGTCCAAAGTCCTGTCATGTATCAGAAACATAGAATAATAGTATATACTCAGTTGGAAGATCCATCATGATTAGGAAGTCCAGCTTCTGGCCCTGCACAGGATATGCCAAGTGTCCCATGATGTGCCTGAGAGCATTGTCCAAACTCTTGTTGAACTCAGACAGGTGCTTAGCTTTGTGACCACTGTCCTGGGGAGCCTGTTCCAGTGCTCAGCCACTGTTTGGGTGAAAAGCTTTTCCCGGATATCCAATCTAAACCTCTGACTCAGATCCATGCCTTTTCCTCAAATCCTGTCACTGGTCATGAGAGTGAAGTGATTGGCACCTGCCTCTCCACTTCCCCTCATAAGAGTGTTGAAGACTCCAATGAGGTCTCCTCTCAGACTCCTCTTGTCCAGGCTGAACAAACCAAGTGACCTGAGCCATACCTCATAAACCCCCTCCAGTCCCTTATCCATCCTTGTGGTCTCCTTTGGATGGTCCCCAGTAGCTTAATGTCTTCTTAATATTGTGGTGCCCCAAACTGCACACAGTACTCAAGGTGAGGCTGCACCAGTGCAGAGTGAAGCAGGACAAGCACCTCCCTTGACTGGCTGGCAATGTTTTGCTTGATGCATCCCAGGACATGGTTGGCCCTCCTGGCTGCCAGGGCCGTACTGTTGACTCAGTAGGAGCAGCTTGTACCTCAGTCTTTCCTGGTAGTCTCTAAAGCACATAATGCTGCTGATAAGATGCAAAGTAAACAGCCCCTGTGCTGCTGCCCTGCCATGTGCCCATCTCTTTTAAAGCAAAGACGAGAAAATTTTCAGGAGTGATTAAAATAAGAACCTACGAGCTCTGGTTCTGTGTTCCACAGCACTGAAAGGTAGCGAAGGTGTCAGCAGAGTGGGACCACTGATCTTTGTGGCCTAATGTGGCTCTGAGTCCTCTCTCTCATGGCTTGAATGAAGTCCAGTCCATTTCACTATAGAAAGCAGCTGCAGAACTGCTGCTGAAACAAGGGGAAATAATCTAATCCATGTTCTTTAACTTGATTGCTTTAATACCTGTTTAAGTACCTTCCCAGCATATTGGAAAGTAAAATCTTTGGGTTGGTTCCTGTCCTGATTTTGGCACAGATCAGTGGGAGGAGGCATGGCCAATACCCTAATATTATTTGATACCACCTCACATCATTACTGGGGGCAGAGAAAGGAGCTATCACTTCTGAGGAGAAGGGGTGCCTTCTGGTGGGGGAAAGCATGGCTGGGAAGAGCCAGTCAGTATTGCCGGACTTTCCGTGCAAGCAATTTCTTTGTCTTATACCTTTTGTTATTAATATCGTTGCTGTTACTGTTCCTTATCTCATTCCTGTTTCTTATCTCCACCCGTGATCTTTGCCTTTTGTTATTTCAATTGAAGGAAGATAGGGGAGCAAGTGGTGCAGTTTTAGTGGGAGAACTAAACTGGGAAATACTCTTCCAAAACCATGACAGTTCCATTATTTTTCTGACTGCATTGAGCAGCTACAACCCCTAAGGCCTGGGTCTGTCTTGCCACTGCCAGATCCACTGTCCTGCATGCTAATTAAGCTTCACGTGAGACAAGGAGGGACAATATGCATCATGAATATATCTGGGTCAGAAAAATGGGCTCACAGTGCATCACTTAAATGTCTGTGACTCAAAATATGGTGTAATGCACTATCAAAACTACTTACTTTATCTGCGTTCTTGCCTCTGAAAAAATTTAGACTTAAGGTAGCAGAGCAGTGCTGTTCTAAGGTATTTCTCCTTTCTTCTGAAAATGTATTTTTGCTTTCCTTTTGCAACTAATTTTTTCTTCTGAGCTGCTCATGCCTTAAATTGCTTCTGTCATCCAAGCATGTGCACACTAACCATTGCCTTAACTAGTTGGTAGGGGGTCTCTGATCCAGCATCTTTGTACTAGTGAGCACAGACTCAAATGCGTCCATAGATAACCCGTTCTAGCACTGCATCAACTTCTTAGTGAAAAAGTTTTTCATAGCACCCAGCCTGAACAACCCAAGATGAAGTGTATGGCCATCATAATTTCTTGTATCACCTGTCATTTGAGTTTATCACCTTTGCAGCTCACCTTTAAATAGCTGTATAGTGGTAGTAGACCATCTCTGAAATTCCTCTTTGCCAAGAAAACAAGCCCAGGTCTGATAATCAATTTGTAGGTCATGTGCTAGCATCTTGGTACCCCTCCACTGGACCCTCTCTAGTTCCTCCATATCCCTCTTGAACTTCAGTGACAGGAAACTGCACACAGCAGTCCAGGTGTGGCCACAACACAGACATTAATAACTTCTTTCAGTCTCTGGCCATGTTCTTCCTAATACAGTGTGGTGTGGGGGTTGTTTTATTCACAATCACAGCTTACTGGTATCCATGGCAACTTCCAGGTCCTTCCAGCAGGACTGTTTCTCATACACTCAGTCCTCAGCCAGGAAAGATGCATGGGGTCACTGTGCCCTGTTTCAGAACTCGACTCTCCTTCCTAAATGTCATAAGGCACCTGTTGACTCAGTTCTTTCATTTCTTGAAGTCCCTCTAGACTGAAGCTATGTTGTTCAGCATGTCCATTGCTCACCCTGAATTTTTATCATAAATTTCTTAGTTCCCTTTTCCTTTAGAATGACTTGAAATTATTCTCACCAAAGATATAGTCTACCCATTGAACTGTACGACTGTACTTAACCAGACAGACACCTAAACATCTCTGACCTTCCTGCTGTGAACCACACTGAGGCTAAAATACAAGAGCAGATTTCAAATCTTTATTCATAGGAACAAAGGAATAAAACTGTCTGAGTCAGAAGTGGCCAAGTATCTCAGGAACTGAAACACAAAACTATGGGTAGCTGCTATGGATGTCAAACCCCTGAACTTTCTTTGGCAATGAGCAGCCAGAGCTGTTTAGAGCACTAGTACTCATGCTAGGAAATGGAGGTTTTTATTTGGTTTTCCATAAATATAGACATCAACTTCTGCTGGGTTGTTTGCATTAGGTTAATATTTCTGTAGTGTACAGGTGTTACTATTAGCTGTGAATGTCTGCTGTCTGTCTCTAACCCTGTAAAGAACAGAGTGTGGTGCTGTAAATATTAACCCAGGCAGAGAAGTGTTTGCTCAGCCCTCCTCTGTGTTACCTCCCCCAGTAGCTCTCTGATAGTAATCCAGACAAATGGCCAAGACTCAGCATCTTTTGCACTTCCCAGTAATGTGCTCTGGTTTTGACTCAAGAAGGGTTGTGGTGGTCAAATCCTGAAAAAAAGCAGCAGAAGCACCAGCGTGCTATAATCTTCATAAGATAAATACTATATAAAATAAGGTATGACTAAGTAACTCAGCACCTACAGCAAACACTTTCTTGATCAAACCCACTCTTCACTGGCTGTGGCAGTCATGGATGTAGAGATGAAATGTCTATCATATCACTGGAACTGCTCCTTGTTTTAATATGGCGATATACAGTAATTTCCATGCAGAATTCTCTCACAGCAGTTCCCTGCTGTAAGCAGGAGGACTAATCTTTCTTAAAATCTCAAGAAAAGGAGGGCACCACTGAATTCAATTGTGAATACTCAATGTATCTGCACAGTTATTATCCTTTATGTTGGGGTTTTCAGACAGATGGGGTGGGTCTCTCTACTAATGCAAACAATTGACTTACAAAACATTTGTCTCATTTTAATATACTAATGTTTGACATGCATGTGTTGGACTATAACTTTTTCACACTGGTTAATTTGATCTTAGGATGCGAACTAAAATGAAGTGTCTGTTCAAAAGAAGCACAGCTGCCTAAATGCCATATGGGCTCTCAGAAATGCCATCTTTCATGTGGGTGTAGACAAGCAGCTCAATCAAGACAGAGCCAGCAACAGGTGAGAAACTGAAATAACAGCCTTCATAATAAAGCCAAAAGGAAGAAGCCACAAGCTCAGTCATCCCTTCCACAGACCCAAGAATCACTTGGGGAATCTACTTAAAAGCCAGTCAGCCTCTGTATCTTCTAAGAACACTCCCTCCAGAGTGAAGGAGACCCTTCCAAGTTGGAGACTCGCAGTCCTTTACCCAAGCACGCCCCCGAGGGTGAGCAGTTACCTGCTCTCGGTACTGAGGTGTGCTATGAATCAATAAACAAATGCCCCTTTTGGAGCGTCCCTCCACTGCCCGGCCGCGGGCCCAGCGGCTCCCCGGTCGCCCTGGGGACAGCGGCCGCCGGACGACCCCCGCCACCCGGCCCACGTCGCACCAGCCCGACGGCCCCGCGGCCCCTCCGCCCACGGCGGCCCCAGGGGCGGCTCCCGGGCCCGCGGTGGGTCGGGCCGGGCTGGGCCGGGGGCGGCGCTCGCCGCCCGCACCTCGACGGGGCGGGCCGGGCTCAGCGGCACCGAGGCGGGGCTGAGCGCAGCATGCGAGCTGCAGCCCCGGCGCTCGGAGCCACCGACCGCCAGCATGGGGCTGGCGCTGCTCCTGGGGCTGCTTCTCTCCCGAGCCGGTAACAGCGCCCGGGGCGCGGGGCGGGCAGGGCACGGCACGGCAGGGCAGGGCAGGGCAGGGCAGGGCACGGCAGGGCACGGCTCGGCTCGGCAGGGCAGGGCACGGCACGGCGGCACCACCCCGTCCCTCTCGCGGCGGACAGACCGCGGCATCGCCCGCACCCCGGTCCCGCCGCGGGGCGGCCGTGACTTGCAGGGGCGGCGCCGGGGTCGCGGCCGCTGGGGTTGAGCGCTGCTTCCCCCGATGCCGGGCGGGCGCGGAGCGCGTCCCGAGCGCGGCGCTCGCAGCCGCTGCCCGGCTCGCTCGGCCACCGGCTCCAGCTGCCCCGGGCGCAGGCGGCGAGTAGGAATTGGCGATTCAAACCGGGAGAGGCGACAGATGTTTTGGCCCGAACGGGGAACCTCCGGTGTGGTTGTGGCCAAATTGGAGGGACACTCTGGGGAGAGAGGACCGCCTGCCCTGGAGGCGAGGCGAGAGGAGGTGCCGGGAGCCGATCCCTGAATGCGGCCGGACGGGCACAAGGCGGGGGTTCTTTCTCCTGAGCTGGTCCCAGCTGCGCCGCGCTCTCGCTAGCTTCGCCCAGAGCAGTTTTTGATGACTATCCCCCTTGCATTCGCCCTCTCGAATGCTTAAGGCCCATAGTTTTCCGAGAGTAGGCTCAGTTTGCCAAGACCAATCCATGGAACTCCTGCAGAGATGCAGCTGATTGTTCTGCTCTGCCTCCTACTACTGCCAAATCACAAGAGCTGAGGATTGAAATTATTCCTTTTTTTAGTTTATCTCTTGTCCAGTCTTCAGGGCTGATGTGACTAGGAATAAGGAAATTAGAAACTGCTCTGAAGCATTCCTAATTTCTGTCTAGAGGTGCTTTGCACCCAGAAAAAGCTGAAGCTTTTTAACTGCTAAAAGATGGGTCGCTGCACTTAGACAGTAGCAACTGGCAGCCACACGATTGCAAAAGATTTCCCACAATTTGCCATGTCCAAATGCCAATGCTTCTTTGGTAACTGTGTTTAATAAAGGAAGGGTTCCCTTCTGTAACTGTTGTCTCTTTAAGTAGCGTGGTGCACCAGGGCCAACAAGATAGACATAGCCATATGACAGGACATTGAAAAGGGAGAATAAAGGTGTATTGTATTACCTAAAATTTTTTTCTAAGGTATAAATAATCATAATGTGTTAATTGGTTATTAACTTTTTCGGTTTTTTAAAAAAAATGGGGTTCCCATGCACATACATCTTTAACATATTCTGCAGCCTAGACCACAGATCTAGGAAAGAATTAGCTTTCTTATTCTTTCACATTTTTAATGGATTACTATGACAAGATTTAAAAAAAATTAAATAACTTGCCAAACTTCAGGGCTTACAACAATACACAGCTAGTAAATGATTTCTGTAGAGGAGGACTATTTTTAAGTTGAGGTTTAGAGCAGCTTCACCTGAACCCACTGAATACTGGATACAAAGCATTCCTGATGAGAGATTTTTCAGGCAGTTTGAAAAGTCATCAAGTCTCTATGTAAGTACCAGGTGAACTACAAAGTACAGTAAGTTGCTAGAAGAACAAAGAAACTTGTACAAGTGAGACAGAGGTACCTAGATAATATTACTGGGCTGTAGGGAAAGTAGAAACTTTGAGAAGCAGGCTGGCATGCATTCTATTGCCTATAGCAAATAAACTGATGAAGCTAGCAAAAATGAAGTAGGTGGGAGAACAAATTACACAGGGAAGATGGTACACTGGGCAATATGAATTGTACCAAGATTTCCCCCTAATTTGTAGTGATGGCTGAAATAGTACTACTGCACCTGCTGAACAAGAGAATGATAGGTAATATGATGTACCCAAAGAACACTAAAGGTAGATGTAAGGCTCAGCACAGTCATTTCCTAAAGCCAGCTAAGGAATCTTGACCTGAAAGGAAGAAACATACCAGCCTATATATAAATTTTATTAGGAAACTGTCTTGTTTCAAGACTTCATTGTACTTGTACCGTAAACATAGGTTCATATACTGCAGAAATTAAGAAAGATTAGACTGAATTAACCTACCCATGACTACATAATCATAAAATTATAGAAAGACTTGGGCTGGAAGAGACCTTACATATCATCTTGATCTACATCCCTGCCGTGGGCAGGGACGCCTTCCACTAGGCCACGTTGCCCCATGTCCCATCCAACCTGGCCTTGGACACTTCCAAGGGGCAGCCATAGCTGCTCTGGGCAACCTGTTCCAGGCCCTTACCACCGTCTGAGTAAAGAACTTCTTCCTGTATAAAATTTGCTATTCCTCCTTTTTTAAAAGTCTCCTTTAAGTACTGGAACCTGTCTCATGCAGGAGGTGCTCCAGCCCTCAGAGCATCTTTGGGCCTCCTCTGGACCCATGTGAACAGGTTAATGTCCTTCCTGGGCTGAAGGCCCCAGGGCTGAATGCAGCACTGCAGGTGGGGTCTCACAAGGGCAGAACCTACTCCTTTGATCTGCTGGCCATGCTGATTTTGATGCAGCTCAGGACATAATTGCTTTTTGGGCTGCAAGTGCACATGACCAGCTCACCCCTGAGAACCCCCAAGTCCTTCTCTGGAGGGTTGCTCTCAATTGGTTCATCTCTCAGTCTGGACTTGGGTCTGGGATTGCCCTGACTCAGGTGCAGCACCTGTACTTGAACTTGTTGAACTTCATGAGGGGATCTTATGGACCAAGCCTTCATCTGCATTTTTGGCAGGGATTTTAGGGACTGGGTTCTGTGTACTTTAATTGACTGCATATCAGCCCTTCCAATATGAAGCTACTTGCATCCTTGTTAAGGATTCATTTGATTATGCAAAGAATACACGTTCTTAATTCTTCAGGCTCATTAAAGTAGTTGTTTTTATACCCTATAAATGGTTTTTTCAGTACATCTCTTAATGACCAGCATATACTTTAGTAATTACAGCAGCACTGACTCACAGTACACAGTATGGTGTTACTATGTGCTTATTGCACTCTGGTTTTCAGTGCCCAGATAAAAGAGCTTCTTCAAAGCAGGCCTCAGCAACCCCAATGTTTCACAGGGATTTACTAGTCCCTAAAATACAGCGCAATCCCTGATCCTGACCAAGTTGAAATTATTTTGGAGGCTTTTATTTAACCTTTTGTTCCCTCTTTCATTTGTACTCATCCTTTTTTTTCTAAATGGAGACAGTTCTTGTTCCTTAACTACTCCACATGAAACAACTTTTGTTTCTTGCAAGGAGTCTTTATTGAAGACAGGATCCCTGCAGAACAATGACAAGGTGCTTGTGTGGCATTCGTCTTGACTGGGGCCCTAACAGTCTTTTCTCCACCTGATCAGGGGACCTCATGGCTCTGCCCAGCAGTGACTGTGTCATGGCAGAGCAGCTGTGCCTCTCCGACTCCACCTGCAATGCCACGTACAGGACCCTGGAAAACTGTGCCCTGGCCAAGACTCGCCTCCTTTCACTGGATCACGATAGCAGGGTCAGATGTCTGAATGCAGAGCTTGACCTCGGGAACAGCTCTTTGCTGCACTGCAGGTGTCACCGGCGCATGAAGAGGCAGGAGCACTGCTTACGCATTTTCTGGACTGTTCACTCCAGCATGACAGACGGTGAGATGAAATAATACAAGTCTACAAGTTACTAGTAAGGCTTACCCCCACCTCCTAGCTGAAAACAACTGTGAAAGTCCACTTCCTAGCACTGTAGGTAATTGCTCTGGAACCATATCTCCTAGTAAAGAGAATTCATTACTGCTCTGTTTGATAAGCAGAGAAAACTGATCTGGTATGGGACCAGCCCTTCAACTACATCAGCAACCCTAAGAGAAAAAGACAGCTACACTGAGATAGTTAGATTTAGTGCTATGAAAAATACCTCAAAACGGTCCTGTATGTCCATCATTGAAAACAGATGTGATTTAAGTGTTCTGCTGCTTTCCTTTGTGGGATGCTTCTACTTGACCTCCCACTAGAGCCTGCCTATGCTGCTCGGCTCCTCATGCTTACTGAAGCTGAAAAATGCAAATGACAACATAGACCAAATTCCAGCTGGACAAAATGTAATGAGGGTTTTACACAGTAATAGCTCTGCATTTCCAAAAGAACCAGCCTTGGCATTTGGCTTTGAGTGAGACAGAGCATTTCTGAACTCCAGCCTGAGGAAAGAACCAGGCATAAATAAGAAAAATATCCTTTTAAAAATAAACAAACAAATAAATAAAGCTGGTCACAAAGCATTTCTCCCATCTCCCACTGCATTAAATATCTTGTACCTTGCCTAGGTTATTTCAATTTGGAGACGTCTCCCTATGAGAATCCAGCAAATGAAGAACACTGGAAGACAGATTATAATAAACTGGCAGCTCTGGTATCAGGTAAGAATTGTAATGATTACATGATATAATGCTGCCCTCTCTTATCTTTTCATAGGTTGAAGATTATTAAGAAAAATTTGGGGTAGTGGCTCCTTTAATCAGAGGAATGCCTGCTCTGGCTGCTAGCCTAAATTTGTCACTCCTACCAGGTGTAAATATAGCCACAGATCCAGGCCCATGAAACCAGTAATAACCCAAAATGATCCATTTTCTGAAACAAGCACCCTACTATGAACCAATAAAAAATACTGTTTTGTAACTAGTACAATTACAGTTGTCATACTGCAGGCACATAGAAGGACTGGTTTTTTTGGTTTTTTTGATTTTTCGAATCTGACCATCAAGAAAGGAGTACTCCTGCTTTTATACAGAATCTCTTCTGGAGACTTGCTTGATGGTTTTTGAGTTTCTTTTGTCTTTACAGGTTCACAGTTAGCAGGAGATGCAACAAATCCATGTCTGAGAGCAACACACGTTTGTAATCTGAGCAAGAAGTGTTTTCGTCTGCGCACAGACTATGCCTCCATCTGCACCAAGGGAGCAGGAAGTGAGGATGTGTGTGATCGGCGCAAGTGCCACAGAGGGCTAAGAAATTTCTTTGAGAAAGTTCCTGAGGATTTCACCAAAAGGATCCTGTTCTGCCCATGTCAAGATGAATTCTGTGGAGAAAGACGCCGTAAAACTATTGTTCCTGATTGTTCCTTCCAGTATAACACCAAACCAAATTGCCTCTGGCTTCTGGACTCCTGCTTAGAAGACCATATCTGCAAGTAGGTCAGGCAGCAGAGGATGTTATCCAAGAGAACAACATCGACACTGATGGTCTCATTTTCCTTCCCACAGATCCCGACTGGCTGACTTCCAACAAAATTGTCAACCTGTAGACATGTCTCCAGATGGCTGCTCTCTGCACAACCATGCTGCATGCCTGCAGGCTTACATGGGCATGATTGGTAAGTGATATCCACAGGAACATACAGAGTAGACACTTTCAGGCCACAAACTTGCAGACACTCTCTGATGCTGTGAAGAACCATCCTGGTCTCCTGCAGGAGAATATGCCTTACTAATTGATGCTAGTGCTCTCCATTCCTTGGAGGTAAATGCAGTCCAAAGAGAGCTCTTCTGGTGGCATTTTTTGCTGTACTTTGCCCCATCCTTGCCTGAGATTTCTGGAAGCCTCTCTGCATCATCAGGTGGTGCAAAGCGCTTAAAGTGCCTCAACAACAGTGCTCAGTGGGCTTGTGTGAACGAAGTCATTGTCATTCCTAAGGCGGGAGTTACACCCCATCACAGCAGTAAATAAACACTGCATTCCATCACTGCCTGACTTTTAGACTCCTGATGGTTTGTTAGTATTGTGCACACTATGTTCTGAAGGCCAACCAGAACATAGAGGACTACCAGCTGTTAGAAGGAAGGTCATCTTTGGTTTTAGTTATTTACGATCTACCAACCTACTAAAACGTTTTTAGAGTGGCTCAAAAGAGGACGTAAAGAGCAGTAGTAACTCATAAGCTGTAAAACTCGACTATACCTTCCATTTTTGAGATGGCTCTGCTGGTTTTGTGCTAAATGAACACTGCCTGAGTGGCACACTACACGTGTGCAGTATTTGTTTGTCAAAAGGCACCTGGCTACATAGTGTTGCCGGCTACACAAGAAACGAGAGTACTTTTTGCTGCTGTATGTCAGTACCACAGCTGAGTCCACGCAAGTCCTTCACATCCTAAAATAAAAGTCCTTCGCGATTTAATGCTTGCTCCATTAAATTACTTTCCTCCTATCAGTTTGCACTGAGCTCTGCAGGTACAGTTCTCAGCATTGCTTCTGCTGTGCACACGTCACAATTTAATGCTTACACCAGTTCCAGTTCTCAATACATTTCAGAGTGCCTGAGTCAGGGGTAGCAATCTCAATACTTTCTCACAGCTCAGCAGACTTCAGGTAGGTTCATCAAGCCTGGGCCACCTAGATGGCACTCCTGACCTCACCTAACATGCTTATCACAGTGGAAGGCTTCTGCCTCCAGGGCAGCATTTCCTTTAGTATAACATGATTCATAATGCTTCTTTCATCTGGGGGGTTTTGGACAGGCACACCCATGACACCCAACTATGTCAGTAACTCCAGTGTGGAGGTCTCCTTGTGGTGTACATGTGAGAACAGCGGCAACCAGAAGGAGAAATGTGACCAGATACTCGGCATGTTTGAGAGCAACAAATGCCTTGGTAAGCATCAGTCACATCACAGACAAAGAGCTCAGCAGAGAGCAATTTAAATCCTGTGGTTTCAAGATCCTGTGTTGCACTGTTTTTGTGTATAGTTCTATCTTCTTCTGCAATGTGTCCGTGATCTCCTCTGCAACCTATGGGACCAGCCTGGATCTGCTCCACAAACTGTTTCTGTATCTTTTGGCAACATTTCTGTTCATCTCAAACACCCTTGAAGCTATTTCCAAACATCATTCAAATGAAGAGCACTGCAAAAACATCACCAAGGGAAGCTCAGACATGCTGTATCCATAGGTTGCTGAGTAACCACATCTGTGCACCAGGATTATGGGTCAGGATTCCCCTTGTCCTCTGTTTCTGTACTCAGCCCTGGCCCTCATTTACTCAGTCAAGATAAGTAGCTCCTGACGCAGCCTGTTACTAGATTCAGCATAGCAGATGCAAAAGTCCTGTTACATCCAACTGTGTAATCCTAAGTCTGTATTTCTTTTATCTCTGTAGCATTTTAGCAACATACCTTAATGAGATTTAAATATTTTATGTTTTTAAAAGCTTTAAAAGCATATAAAACAGCATAATTACATAAGTGATTAATATTTAAACCTACCTCCTGCAGTATATAAAAGCCTTACACCCAGCACTATAGACACATCTACAATTTAATCATCTCATCCAAGATACTACAAACCTGCCCCTTTCAAAAGAGAGTTGAGAAAGTCACAGAGGGACCCAAAAGTCTTCAAGTACAGTCCAAACTGTTTTTGCAGTCTGCTCAATCTCACAAGTAAACCCACAAACTGAAAGGCCATTTACAAGAGAGAATACGTATTTTCTAAATAAAGGCCACACAGCCTGTGAGTGCCATTCCTAAAATAGCTTCTGTAGACTTCTGTTCACCTGACTCCAAGGCGCACACAAGAAAAGCACAGTAAGACTCTTACTTTACTTCTGTTTGCAGAAAATACCATTTGGTCTGAAATGCACCTGAAGCAGAGAGCTCTAGAAAGACGGGAAGACTTACTTTATTCATCTTCCCTAAGCTTCCAAGGAGACAGTGCCAGCACATCTCTCTCTTCAGCAATGTCCCAGGTACGCAATGCTTTGTTGCCTTCACAAAGCAGCGAATCAAGTAGTCTAGAGACAGTAGTTGAAAAACCTTGGATCTAGAAATACGTGACTTTGGACATCAAACCAAGGGATGCCATGTGCATACAGAACACTAGACTACCTTAAATTACTCCTTCCACAGACAAGCAGAAATAGGAGGCTGTATGTCTGGCCACAGGAGTTTCAATAGTCTCACATTAGTGCTCAGAACTAGAGGTTCTGCAGCCAGAAGTCTGAGCATAAATGTGTCTGTCTAACTGGGATTCATCCCTTTTTATTTCCTAGGTGTCTGAAGGGAAGACACAGCGAGACAGCTCCAAACAGAGCAGTATGCCTATTGCCTCCTCTGTATATTCTGGAGCTGCTACCTCCTGGCCTTCTCTGGCTCTGTTCCTGTCCCTGTTACTGAGCCCATATTAATGTGGCATAAATGGAATCTTTCTTTCCCATATTATTAATATTATTCCATATCCAGGCATGTCCCAATACAGATTTGCTTTTGGGAAACAGAAGGCTTTCAGACAAGAGGAATGACCTTAACCCAGAAGGCAATCACTGGAAACCTCCCACATACTTGCACCCCGCTTTCCCCCTGTCAGTTTGTGCTGAGCTCTGCAGGTATGGTTCTCACCATTGCTTCTGCTGTGTACACATTCTGAGTACAGGCTAATGTTCCAGTTTAATAGGTTCAATCAAAGGTCTGATTTCTTTCAGATCTTGTACAGGGTTTGATTTCTGACTGTAGGGATGACCTGACAGTGTCTCCAACCACCCCACCATCTGGAGCTCCTCTTCAGGCATACAATCATTGAATGGTTTGGGTTTGAAGGGACCTTACAAAATCATTTAGCTCCAACCCTGTGTATGGTTGCCGCACGCTCGGTTCAACCTGGCCTTGAAGGGATGGGGCAAGCACAGCTTCTCTGGACAATTTATGCCAGTGCCTCACCACCCTCACCAGGAATAATTTTTTCTTAATATTCAATCTAAACATACCCTCTTTCAGTCTAAAATCATTGTTCCATATCCTGTCCCTAGAGGCCCAGGGTCAAAAGTGTCCCTCTGTGCTTATGGTCCCCCTGATGTATTGAAAAGCCACAACAAGGTCTCCACAGAGCCTTCTCTTCTCCAGACCAAACCACATCAACTGTCTCAGCCTTTCTTCATAGGAGAGGAGTTTCAGCCCTCTCATAACTTTCACAGCCTCGTCTGAACCTTGAACAGGTTGAACAGGTCCATGTCGGTCATGTGCTGGGCATTGCAGAGTTGAAGGCTGAACTCCAGGTGGGGAGGTGGGATGGGGCAGAGGGGAAGAATCACCTCTCAGCCTCCTGGCCAGGCTTCTTTTTATGTAACCCAGGCTCCAGGATGGCTTTCTGGGCTGCAAGTGCATTTTACTGACTAGTTTTCCATCTAGCCATGATCCAAGTCCTTTCCTGCACAGCTGCTCTCAATCCATTCACTCCCCCACTCTGTACTGATATTGGGGGTTGTCCCAAGCCAGGTGTGGGACCTTGCACTTGGACTTGTTCCACTTAATGAGTTTTGTTGGTAACCACTTCTCAAGCCTATGAAGGCATAGAGTAGAGCTTATCATCCTAAAGAGTAGAAGCCTGTGCTTCAAGGTGGGTTGCAAGTAAAGCTCAATAAACATACATGTGAAGTCCCTAGTAAACACCATCTCTGGATTACTTTCAGTTCCCTTTTCAAATCCATTATTTTAAGTATATGAAAATTCAGATCAAGAACACTATACTAGAGTTTATGCTCCATTGTGTTTTGTCCCTTCAACATGTACCTAACCCATTATCACAGCTAGTGACACACTTGGGCTTTGTTGTTCAACATGAATGGTACTCCACTTCAGTAGATTTTGGCTTATCTCCATAACCCTTAGAGAATGCATTTGGCTCATTGAAGCTGCATTGACCACAAACCCTGGGACATTCAGTTGCAAAAATCTCCTTGTACCTGTCCACATATTCAAGTTACCATTGTTCCCTTCCAGCCACCTGCCCCATCTCCCTCCTCTGCCAAGCACTACTTCATGACCTGTTTATTCTGAATGTAATGTGTGCGCTGTGTAACTGCTGTTAGTTTGTACTGTGTTTGTTAAAATGTGGTGTTAAGTGAATATTGATTTCTGAGCATAGGTTAACAGTCTAAAATCAATTGTGTGCAAGAGTTGCCTCACTAGCCAGCCTACATATTCAAATAGCCAGAAACTCAGCTCAAAACAGCTCCTCCATGGACACGCATAGAGCCCATTGCTCATCCTGAGAGGCAACAGATCTGAACAATACTATACACATCCAGACAAGATTACAATCCTGAACAGAGGCATAATAGCGGAGTATTTCTTTTTATCCTGTGTTTTATCTGTTGCCAGGGAAGCACCAGCTAGGTAATATGCTGTGGTTCCCAGTCACTGTCAGACACCTAATTACAGAATCTTGCATCGTTGTATGTATCAAAGTAATTATCCTTCTGCAGTGGTAATATTTCCATTTCCAATTCCATACTTATGTTTATTTCCTAGGCAGGTAGAGCAAAGAAATCATGCATGCAGCAGCATCATCTCCTCTGTCACACAGAGAAGCAATGTATTATTTACATGCAGTAGGAATTAATATGTCTTCTTAATAAACAGAAGTAATAATGCTGGTATTTCCCATTACCTACTGAGATATGGCTATTTGGTGCAAGAGACAGCACTGTTCCACATGTTTGCCACCATTAGTTAATAAAAACAGAGTCCATAAGTAACCCTAATGTAGTATCTACATTAGACCATCCTCCATATGGTGGGATTTAGAAATGCGTCAAGACTCTTGACTGTAATGTAGTAGCATCTGTCATCTCTGAGAGTCAATGGAGAGTGACAGGGAAGAAGAAAATGTTATTCTTTCCACTATTCCACACAACATAGAGAATATTTGTGAGAATAATGGAGTAGATTTCTGAGTGATCTGTACCACACACACTGATACACAATGTTCTGCATTGATCTCCCACTCATCTGCGCTGTGATCTTTCCTCTTTCCCAAATTTAGTGCCGTAAGACAGATTGATATGGAAAAGGGGACTAGCATTTTCTTGTTCGTGTTTAGGGCACTAAATCCCTACTAAGAAGGTTATTGATTGCAACTGCAGTTTTCTGTCATATCCTGGATTGTACAGGAAAATGCTTGACACTTGGACAAATCATGCTCTAGACTGAAATTGAAACAAAACATGTCAGTTTGTAGGGGTTTTTTTCTAAGTGTCCTGTGTCCCTTTTTCATGCACCTTTATAAACACAGCTGCCTCTTATCTTGTTCATCAATAACTGCAAGTAAAATTCACTTCTAACTACATGTTGATTCATAGGTACACACACTGTTTGAGTAAAAATCCATTTTCACTTAGACTTTTCTAACACCTGATCTCCAAATATCAGTTTTTCAACTACACAGCATATATGCATACACAATTGCTACTAGAAATATCATGCCAATATCACTATCAATTCAGTTCTGTCAGCACCACCAGTGTTCCAAGACTGACACATTTCCTAAATCCATTCAGAACAACTTACTAACCATACTACAGGGCAATTAACAAACCCCCCTCAGTTTGGAAACCACATCCTGTGAGCACGTGTGGTCTCACAAAAGATAATCCACAAAACACAAAAATAATCCAATAAAAACTATCCAGACAGTCTTAACAGTGAGCATTCAGCAAGCATATACAAGGAGGGAACCTTCTAATTACTGTAATGTAGATTATTTTTTCAAGAGTAAAATAATGCGAGGTCTGACTAATAAAACTTATCTTGCAACTCTAGAAGTCTCCTGCTTTCCTTTGCATTTCATAGAAGCTACACTTCTTGTCTCCATTGATGGAGGCATTATGGAACAGAAAGATTAAGAACAGAGTTAGAATTTCTTACAAAGCAATCCTGACAACTTTAACAGATATCACTCACTGTCAGGTACTTCAGATGTGGCTTCTACAACTCTGATACAGCCTTATATTTCTTAATATGATCTAATGTAGCATTTAAAAAGGGCATTCATATAGTCCTCCAGCAGTAAGCTCAGCCAACTGTTAGATAAGTGGTTTCTTGTCACAAGTGGGAGAAGCAATTCACATTTCTTGCCCGAGGTCATAAGCAAGATGATGCCAGAGATAAACCTTGATTTTGTAAGTCCAAAATTAGTGTCCTTACCTCATTCAAGTAATTCTCACTGCCTCCAAGAAACGCCTATGTTGTAGTAAGAATCAAGTGGCTGGAGCTTTCCTTTTAGAAGGGGGAACAATATGTTATTGCAGATGACAAAAAGCTAAAGCACTGTTGGTTTCAAACAGTGATTCCTGGCTAGAGATCCCTGGCACACCTCTCAAAGTTAGCTGACAATAAAAGGTAATTTTCAGTTGATAGGAAAGGGCTACAGGTTCAGCATTCTTCATATAAAGAATGAAAGTGTCTTTTTCAATACATCCTAAAAATCATGTCACTCGATTTGCCAAAATGGTAGGCAACTTTATACAAGAATAAAAAGGAGAATTGTCAAAGTAATCTTTGAGGTGTCCAATGAACCAGGCAAAGCTTTTGGGGACAACAGTGGAGCAAGAGGAAGCCAATCAGCACTGCTGAGTTCCACAGGATCGTTCAGCACTCCTATGGAATCACAACCCACAGCTATTCCACAGCTGCTTCCCCCACTGAAACAGATCCTGGTAAATACAATCAAAGGCTAATCACTTCTACCCCAGGGACTTTGTGGCTGAACCTTTTTTTCATTTGAGGCAGGGTCGGTTGAGGCTGAGCTTGGTTAGTCTCTAATGGAAGCTCTTCTGATAGGTGATTAGCTCTCGTCCAGGAAGTGACTTGGTGTTTGGGTTTCTTGCAAACCCCAGGGTTAGCAGAGGTCAGGGGATGCTGCACTTTCTCCAAGTGCCTCCATGAAAATAGCCCCACATACTTTCCATTTACAGCTGATCACCTCCATTATCCCCAAGCTAGGAGGAGATGATCAGCAATTGTTAAGTGCTTGAATCAGACTAATAGCTCACTGCTAATTCCCCCAGTAATGGGAATCTAAATTCCTGGTAAACAAACGGACTGCTTTTCACACATAGGGATGAATGCCAAAAGCCTAATATTAGAGCTCTGGAACTAAAGCTTTTAGAGCAATCTTGTCCACTCCAAGATGTTTAATGACATTATGTACTAAATAATTAGAAAATGAAGGCCCGCTTGGAATCAATGAGTTACTGTCTAATTAAGATGACAAAGGGGCTCTACCCTTTTTTAAACAAGTTTATACTAAAATGGTGTACCTGATAAATGGTTCTGATAACTATGTCTTTACCTTTGGGCAGAACAAGGAGATATTAAGCTAGCACAAAAAATTGTGTGATTTTTGGCTCATCTTTCTTCTCATTGGTCCCACCTGTTTTCCTGTAAGGCATGTGATTCAGCTGTTCCTCCCCCCATCAGATGACAAAATTTATTAAGCAACACTCAAATCACTTATCCTGATGCAGAGAGAATCATCTTTACCTTTGCTTTACTGTATGGCCTGAAACACAGAGTTCACACTATGAGATGCTTGAAGAGCTAAGAGATATGGACTGGACCCTCTAGAAGCACTTTGCAGGAAGAATTGCTAGTGAGCCTGAGAACACAAGAGAAGATTATTTATATACAGAGATAACTGTAAAAATACTGAGAAATGTTCTACTGGTAATATGGCTGAGTCAAAATTGATTAGTAAATCACACAACATCCTTATCTCCAAATTTAAGAGGTAGAAGTTTGAAGGGTGGACAAATTGGTGGATAAGGAATTGGCTGGATGGATGCAACCAGAAA